AAGACCTGGAGGAACATTGAACATGGGGTCACAATGGGTCAGACACAACTTCACAACTTCACAAGTAACAACAATATATACTGTACTACACTGTATTTGAAAAGATGGGGATCAGATGGAGATTAGATACTTTTTAATGAGCATTTCTATGTATAGGTTGTAGAAGGAAGCTAGGATATAGCCTTAATCCTATATGCTGAAAGTGATGCAGGAAAAAGAGGCCTTCTATCAAAAGTTTGTATGAAGTCTATATATAAAACAAGGGTCAGAAAATAAGACTCAGCTTGTTCTGAATGGGATGGCCACTGAGTTGCAAAATAAAATTTTAGAATGAGTGTTCAGTACAGTGATACAAAGAGTATTTTTACAGGAATTATAAACTATAAAATCCAGACTAAGGTTTGGTTTGCTATTATGTGACCTGTGTAATCAGTGCAAAATCTTCCAGCCCAGGCAATGAAAGACAAAGAGAGGAAAAAGTTATTCTTACAAATAGAAAAATATTACAATCTGCCCCAAGTTCCATGAAGTTCCAATGCTGCAATTTGAATTGTACCATATGCAAAGGGGAAGAAAACTGGTTTGATTGCCTAAGCAATGATCAAACAAGTGCCAATAAATAGGCCCTCTTAACTAATGCTAATAGAGTTGGGCTGCAAAAATATGAATGTCTAGCAGATGGTGACAAAGATCTACAACTGGTCTATTCAACTCTTTGCCACCATCTACTAGTCATTTGTATCATTGCAGCCCAGATGTCTAGAATTTCTTTTCAGCTCTGTCTTATTCCTCAGGTAGTGTTAGTGGCAAATTGGATTTTTAAAAAGTAATGCATGATTCAGCTGGGTATATATCTCAATTTCATTTTCAGACATCCCACTTAATCTATGGATATTGGGAGGAGGAAGGCAACATTTGGGGAACTAATTAAATATGCTTTTCCCTAAATGTTTTAACAAATCTGTGGTAAGAAGTAAAGCAGAATTCATATTTAAAGACCTGTTTGTGGATTTCAGAATGTATAATATGAACACACAGGGGTACTGAAGTTTAAACTTTAAATAAACAATGCAATAGTTTTAATTTTTGGTCACTTACTAACTCTTAATCATACAACAATAAAAACATTCCTGAGAAGTTATACTATAATATTTTCACTCTGAGAACCTTATCAAAATTTGACTCTCATAGCAGCCGTTGTTAAAATTAAGCTGTCCTTCCATGGATATGTCTGTCCTCCCAACTACTAGCAGCAAAATCCCTTCAGGGAAATGCTAAGTCCATCATCAATATGCATTTAAAGTATAAATGCTTTATCTCTAACTCTTACACATCATGCAAGCCTGCAAATCAAACATTAATTCAGGCATTAGAATTCAAAGAATGGCACAGCTCGCCCACACATTTTACAGAAAGTAAGGCAAATTCTTTCCATTATGAACTTGGGAGAAGACCTTTCCTGAAAACAAGTTTTTTTGAGTTTCACATTCAGTTACAGTCTAACAGAGTCGGGCAAAGATCAGGGAGGGGAAACGTGAATCACCTTGGGGAATTCTGAGAGTTATAGTTCCAGTACCTATAAAGGACACTAGATTCCGAGAAGGGAGTTATACAGCAGGAATGGCAAGGTGTAGCTCTCCAGATGTTGCTACGTTGACCAGCCCAGACCATAACAGAAAAAGATACAATGTAGTAGGACTTGCAGTTCAGTGATACCTGAACTGTGATATCTCAGATCATAGATACCAGTTCAGGGTATCTGAGGAACTGCCTTACTGTGACCAGACTCACTGCCTCGTTCATTCTGGTGGAAAGGGCCTACTTCAGATCCCATTGGCCAAAGAATTTTGGCAGGTGGAGTCCAGTACCAAAGAGTCTTTTCTGCTGTGGCCTAAAAACTTAACTTTTCTGCTTGGCCTGGGGTCCCGATAGGGGCCTGCTACATGGGAGGTAGCTGACAAGGTAGAGAAGATTCTCACCCTCAGGCTGCTTCTCATCTTAGTTCTTAATTTTTAATCTTTTCATTCTAATTTTGGGTTTTTTGCCCCCTTTTAACTTTTTATTATATTGCAAGCTGCCCAGAGTTGCTGTATTACTGAGATGGGTGGTGTAGAAATGTATTAAATAAATAAAAAAACCTGAAGGGCCAGAGAAATTGTAGAATTGTAGAAGTGGGAAAAAGTAAAATGTTATCATAGCATCTTGTGTAAACCCAGCATGGTAAAGGGATACTTTGGCAGAAAGGATTGGAAGGGGGGAAATATGGTGTTACTTTCATCAGGAAGAAGTTAGAAAGAACTCTTTTGTTTTCCATGATAAACTCCAGATCAGGTCATTGGCAAGAGTCCTAATTTTGCAACTATGAGTAAAGTAAAGTACTGTATTTCATAGAAATACAGTACAGGGGTGGGTTCTACTTACCTTTACTACTGGTTCGCAGCGGAGGCAGCATGCACAGAAGCATTTTGATGATGTCAGGGTTGGTGGGCGGAGCCTCCCACCGGTTTTACTACCGGATCTATAGAACCGGTGTGAACCGGGGGCAACCCACCACTGATACAGTACCCATAACATCAAAAGATTATAGCAACAATTGCAAAGGTCTCCATGCTTGTTCATCACCATCAACCCCAGCTTTTAACAATTTGTTCTTCCCTTCCATGCTGGTGGTAGCTTTGATCCTGCTGCAGGAACAAAGCTCATAGGATGAAACAGACAACTTAAGCAGCTGGTGCTATGTCTTTGAATAATGCTGCACCAAAAAAAAAAAAATGTCAGTCTTATATTTTGTCACTTCTTTTCCTCTTAAGGAGGTCCATAGAAGAACAAGGGAGCACTTGCTTGGAATGCAAAAGGTCTCAGAGTCAATCACTAGCTCAAAAGCCTTTGCCATATAAAGTTAATACCAGACCAATAATCAAATTAGTGATTATTTCTCTTTCTCTGCTCAGGACTGTTAAAAATAATTGCCCAGTTGTTTTATACAAAAAGGAAATCTGGACATATGGTATAGGATACCAACATTTTGAGGATCTAATTTTAACAAAGAGGGGAGAGGTATGGTACTACTTTCATCAGGAAGAAGTTAGTAAGAACTTCTAGAAATAGTGATGCCATCCTTATTCCTAGTCTATGCACAAAGAAATATTTTTTAAAAAATCCCAATGCTCATGGCTACCATATTATCTGTGGTAAAGAAATTAAATTTTAAAAAATCCTGGCTTGGTTAATTGTAGTTGGTTGGAATTAGACTAATCAAATTGAAACCAATCCTTTGGACATGTTAGTCATTGCTTGAATTCTATGATTTCTCATGAAGTGGAAGCTTTATTGAATTCTACAGGATTTATTATATACTAAATTCATATAAAGTTACTGATCAAGTCATGGATAATTTCTGCTTTAATTTTATTAGGAGCTAATCACAGCAGATTTGATTAGCTTTGAGTCCTGGTGACCTACATACATGTCCCTGCAGTTTTCTTGATAACATTTTGCAAGTGGTTTGTCCTTGCCTCGCTCCTAAGGCTGAGAGAGAGTGACTGGCTCAGGTCACTAACTGGGTTTGTGAGTAAGATGAGACGAGGTGGGTTCCTCCCAGTTCAGCCAAGCAAGTAACCAAACCAGTTCTCTTTGTTCAGGAGCTGGGCCCTCCCATCCACCCACCCATTATTCTTACCTTTTATTTGGCCCCGCCCCCAATCTATTTGTTGCCTCCCGAGTCCCAGCTGATCGGCTAGAAGAAAAAAAAAACTGTTTAAACTCTTGCCGCAGGGCTTCAAAGGTCCGCCCTACAACTGATCAGTGTTAAAAGACAGTGTGGTGGTAGATCAGTGCGCTCGAAAAACAAATGGGTAGACCGGTGCCTCCAAAAACAAATGATTAGACCGGTGCCTCCAAAAACAAATGGGTAGACCGGTGTCTCCAAAAACAAATGGGTAGACCGGTGTCTCCAAAAACAAATGAGTAGACCGCTGCCTCCAAAAACAAATGGGTAGACCAGTGCCTCCAAGAACAAATGGGTAGACCGCTGCCTCCAAAAACAAATGAGTAGACCGGTGCCTCCAAAAACAAATGGGTAGACCGGTACAGCTCTGCAAGCAGTTAAAAGCTTCTGCTAAATCCTAAATAATTGTCACATGACCATCAAACTACACCCACAAAATAAGCCATGCCCAAAGAACCGATAGTAAAAAAAATTTAGAACCCACCTCTGGACGAGAACTCGTTATCCAGTTTCTTGCCCAGTTGATGCCTTAATGTCTACACTACACTGGTTCTCTGGATAGAAACTGGATAGAAACTTTCTATCTCTGATAAAAACTGCCCAGCTATAAAACACTAAAGTGACCATTTTGAATCAGCTCAATACTGCTTTATACACTTCCATGTGTGTCTATATTTTATCTCAACATGATTTGTACTAAGATCAATCATTAAGATGTGAGTGCATTGGCAGGATAAGGCACAAAGTTTTTTTAAAAAAGGGGATATCCAAAGGATTTTATATGATGGCAAATAATTGAGTATAAAAAGGATTGGATTAGCCATTGCAATGAGATTTAAGTACTTGTCTTCCCTGGTAGAACACTACCTAATCAAGGAGCGAAGAAAAGATGTGTATTATTAATTGCAAGAATAGAGAATAATATGCTTTTCTCTGATCATAATTATACATTTTTTATCTCTTGGCATGTTTTTGCTTTTCTGAATGTCAGGCACTTTACATGGATTAAAGGATTGTATAGTTGTATGATAAAAAAGAATTGGATAAATTAAAAATGACAAAAGAGCAGCATGTTGTTACTAGATCTAGAGTCCTTCACATTTCATTTTCTGGAAGAAGATAAAAGAAAGAGAGACAGAGGGGGAGAGGGAGAGAGTATTTTTACAAATCAAACAGCACCCTTTTGAATACCTAAAACTCATCTATGGTTTTAATACCCTGCAAGGCACAAGTAAGTAACACTGGGGAATCTATTAACTACTTAATACTTAACTACTTAAAGAAGAATGGGATTAGATGCAATTGTGCATTTCCTCCTCTTTTTTTTTTTTTCATCGTCCTTTCTCAGAAGAATCTTGAGATGTTCACTATGACAAAGAACAAAACAGATGCAAACCACAGGAAAAGTTAACTTTTCTTCTTTGATGTACAAAATGTGCCAATTAGCAAAAAAAACCTAGATAAGTTGTATTGTGGTTTGTAATGGGGAACAACACGATGCAGGGGAGAAAAAGGATGGGTTATTCCCATCAGAGACAATAGCCTGGGAGCATCGTGATAATATTTTTCTTTCTTAGAGAACCCCAAAATTCAAGGGTTACCTTTCTCACCTCTGCTTGTTTCATTTCTGTTGCTTGTGATGAACCTCTCAAGACAAAATCTGGAATTAGAAAAATAAAGCAAGGTGGAGAAAAAGAAAAATGAGATCTTTAGAAGAAAATGCAATGATACTTGTTAGCATTTTGAACATACTGTTTGAAACAGGACATTTGGGGAATGACCTTAAAAATCAATTTTACTTAAATAGGCTAGCATTAGCTAGGGGCTAATTTTTCAATTCAGTTTAGTGTGAAAGCCAACCCAAAGTAAATCCCAGGTGAGATAAGAGAAACCTCAAGGATCAGTCTTAATAGGTCAGCCAAAGATAATACTAGAAATCCAACAAACTCCTGCTTACATTAAGACAAAAACAAAGATATCATAATGTCAGAAGTAGACTCTCAAGATTATTAATGTTAACTCTGATGAATTAACAGATGTTACCAATGAAAAGTAACACATACTTGAAGAGATTGGATGCAATACAGTACCAATATCCCCCTGATTATGGCAAATGCATGTTTTTCATGGCTGACCTCAAGGTTTTGTGGTCTACAGAGTCAAAAGACATTGTATAATCAATGAAGCCAGAGGTGGGATTCACTTACCTTCCTTACCGGTTCGCAAATGTGAGTGTGCGCACCTCTGCACATGTGCATGGCCTTCTGCGCATGTGTAGTAGTCACACATTATATCTGAGTGGATGGGCGGAGCCTCCTGCAGTTGCTGCTACCAGTTAATGCGAACCGGATGGAACCAGCTGAATCCCACCACTGAATGAAGCCCAACTAGACATATTTTGGAAACCCCTTGCCTGTTCCATTATTTATTAGATGTTTGCAATCTGATTGTGGGTACTCCTATCTATTCTGAATCTAGCTCTTAGATTCAGACAGTTTTTGCTCCATGTATTGTTTAATCTTAGTCTGTAGAATCCTGCAGTATTATTTTACTTGCATGTAAAACAAATGCAAGTTTAACATAGTTTGAGAACTATTTACAACTTTTATTTTAGTTTTGGAATATAAATGTATATATTCCAGTCTCTTGACTGCTGCTTTGCTTTTCATACCTGTTTTACAGCCCATTTTTTCAGCTGCAGTTCGAAATTATGATGGTGTTGAATGAAGAGACTTAGGATCCCTGCTCAAAGCTCCAACCATTGTAGTATCCCTGTGATCAAGTAATCAAAGTTAAGGTGCTCGGCAGCACACCTGTCCTTAGCACAGCATTTCCCCCCACCCCCACCCACCCCCACACACATATAGGCGCCTTGACTAATTAGGTCATTGGTATGTGGGTTTCCTCCCTTGTCTGCCACTCATGAGAGACCTGGGCTTCCGCTCTGCCCTAGAAGTCTGACTGGCTTTGGCTACTAGGTCCAATGGTGTGAGAAACCTGCCCAGGCTAGAAGGTCTTGGACTGCTGGCCCATTGGTACACAGACTTCCTCCCTGCCCTGCTACTCATGAAAGACTGGGGCCTTCTCCCTGCCCTGCATGTATGTATGGGCCTGCTATAACAGAAGACCTTGGCCAGCACGGTCCACCAGTACCCAGAAATATGACACAAGCTGGAAGCCCAAAACCAACTAGGCCAGGGGTGAAATCTAAAAATTTTTGCTACCAGTTCTGTGGGCGTGGCTTGGTGGTAAACTGATTGGGAGAGCATGGCTTGTTGGTCAGGTGGGCATGGCCAAGTTAATGTCACTTCTTTGCCCTTTTTTAACCTACAAAACACAACACAACACAACTGGCTCACCCACAATATAAAAGCAGCTGTGCTAGACCCAAAATGGCCCCTGCAACAAGCAGGAACCTCACACAGTCACAAAAAGCCCAAAAAACCAACTTTCACACTTTACACACACAAAATTCCACATACAGCTTTGTGAGATTTTGTGTGTTTGTGTAGTTAGAGTGAAACACTACAGAAACACACTAAAACTCAGAAAGCTGCACAAATATTATTTTATTTTAATTTTTTTATTTTTATATAAAAGCAGCTAAATTTAAAACTTCCTAAACTTTAAATGGCTAGGTCTAAAAAAAGAACAACTAAAAAAAACCCCAATTAACTATTTTTTTTAAAGCTCCCAAAGGGGAAAAAAACTTACCCAATTGAACAGGGGTCTCCAAACTTGGCAACTTTAAGACTTGTAGACTTCAACTCCCAGAATTCCTCAGCCAGCTTTGCTTTGCTGGCTGAGGAATTCTGGGAGTTGAAATCCACAACTCCCTGCCTGCTTGATTGCAGGCAGGGGGATTCAGTTGCTTGCTGATGCAGGGATTACAGCAAGGCGTTGCGACCAGCAGCTAAGGTAAACAAGCTGAGGGGGGGAGGGGGAGGGATTTTTGCTACCGATTAGCAGGCAGAGCCATTTAAAAGAAAAAAACCTTTTTTTCTTTTACATGGCTCTGGCGATCCCAGCTCAGTTGCCTGATTAGCAGGCAACTCAGCTGGAATCTCAGAGCTTGGCTGGTCAGAGCCATTTAAAAGAAAAAAAGGCTCTGATGATCGCGCGGCTCAGCTGGGCATGGGGGGCGGGGGCAGGGATTTTTGCTACCGGTTCTCCAAACTGCCCGCCGCCATCGCTACCTACTCGCCCGAGCCGGTCCGAACCGGGAGCATTTCACCCCTGAACTAGACCAATCTATGTACTGGCCTTCTTCTTATCCCTCCACTCCTGAGATGCCGGGGACTTCTTCCAGTCCCACCACACCTGAAAGGCCTTGGCTGGGTAGGCCCACTCTGTGTAGGCCTTCTCTTTGCTCTACAATGTGAGCACAACTAGAAAGCTAGCAAAAACAACCCTCCTGAGGAAGACTGATGTCACTAGGTTTCTAATTGTGACTTGTATTGGCTGGATGCACCTGTTAGCAGTTACACAGAAAGAGAAAGGTAAGTTGACTTGTGTGTGGTGGGGGAGGGAGAAAGCCCAGGCCTCTTGAGTGTGGTGGGGCATGGAAAAGATGGCCTCTTGACCCACAGTTTTCTGCATGCTAGTGGGCATTGGCCTCCCAAGGCCTTCCCCACCTCCTGAGGACTCTTAAAAACCTGCTTGGTTGCTTAACAACCTGTCTGGTTGCTTAATGACTGCAATGGGGTGAGTTGAGATTACAATCATTAACCCAAGATGTCACACAGCTTTCTGTGTGCAACAAATTATGTCCATAATTCTGGGCTCAGTGCAGCCATAGGTCAAGCTATAGTTACCTGTAATATACCTTTTTTGAAATTCCATATCCCCAAATTTAAGTCCTTATGGACTTAAAGAGGAAGATCATAGCATTATGCATCCACCAACTCCCAAAATGATAAGAATGAAGAAATTATATCATGCTAACAGATTAAAATCATTTAGTACTATTGTAATTTGCATCCCACTTATCCACTCATGGAATTGAGAATGGGACAGGGCACAGAAAAGGGTAATCCTAAAATCTGCATTGGAATCCCTTGCTGGCTCAAAAGTAGCCCTCTAGTTGATCAAAAAAGGAGAGAGTATTCTTCTTGATTAAAAGCATGCTTTCATAATGACAGACATAATGACATCAGTTCTCCTAGACATTCAAGTTAGAGCAGGTTCAAATGCATTAGCACTTAACTGCAGAAGTCCCCAAACCATCAGATGTCATTTTTAATTAGGTTTGCTACTATGCCACTTGTCTCGCAAGTTGAAAAGGGAGAAGTTGAAGTACATTTCACGTACTTTTTTCAGGTTTTATATTTTTGAACCTATAGGCCTTTGGTAATGCAGATGCCACAAGAACTATAAGACCATTACTTACCAGTTCCAGATTCAGTGGTAGAAGTAATAAGTCTTGATCTTGGGGAAAATTACTGGTGGAAATAATTTGTGAATATTTTCTGAGAAAACATCCAAGTTTATTTGAATTTTTTCAACAGGCAAAATTTCTAACAAGGTCAATAAAACCCCATGGGCTCAGCCAAGGATTACTTTATAGAAAGGAGTTAAATCACATATTCAAATTGGTAAAGCATAGTAAAGTTAAATTTTGAAATAACAGTCAGATCAAGTGCTGGACTTATAGGGGAAAGATTAGGGTGCCGAATTATAATACTTCTCCTATTTTGTTTAGTAATTTAGAGAGTATAGAAGACTTTAGAGTCTTTATCAAGAAAAGAAAGAGAAGTGGAACAGGGGATTTTATTCTGGGGATATTTTGTTTAATTGTTTATTTTTATTCTGGGCAGTTTACACGGTTAAAATATAGTTTGGCAAACCTGCTTGATTTGATTCTTTTACAAGGAAATGGACTGTTGTAAAACACTTCAAATGAGTAGGGAAAAGCAAAACTATGAAAATGGATGACCTTGAAGCAAAAAGGGGACTGGTAACATAAAGCAGGCTGCTATCTTTTCTATAAGTCTAAGGGTGATCACTGGATGAGTGTAATAAAGAACAAATTTATGTTAGTTATGGTTGGTATTCTAATGGAAGATGAAAATGTAGAAAGGTGACAATATCAAAATGGCCTCCATAGTAAGGTGACCTCCTCACTTTATGTAATGTAGCATTCTTAGTATGAGGGTAATTTCCATTATTTTTAACATTTACTGTATATTCTTGAAAGGTATATAATCTGTAACTGCGTGGACTTCGGAGCTTTTCAACATTTCTCTGGCCAGGAGACCAATAATCACTGTAGGTTTGTGCAGGCCTACTATAAACTATACTTTGTCACAATAGCTCCAGATGCTTATTTATAGTTCCTTATTTAGTGATCATTTTTCCAACAACAATTCCTTGAAAAAAAAATGCAGGTACCAACAATTTTTTGGAACAAATGGCATACTGGAAATTTTAGGAACAAATGGCATACTGGAAATTTTAAGAGCAAATTGTGGGCACATGCACAAAGTTGTAGTTATACTGTAGGTGTCTTGGGCAATCACAAACTCCCCTATATCAGAATCTAAGCAAATAATTGGGCTGTAGGCATTTGTTTTTGTTTTGGTTTGTTTTTTTAAATAATATATTTGAGTCTATGTAGAGCACAGATACAGGCGTACCACTGTGTATTTGTGAAATACAAATTGTGAAGAGATTAGAAATCCCCTTTACCACATGTTTCCAATTCATGCTTCCTACTCATTTTTTTAAAAAAAATATTTGGTGGAGCAAGATGTTTCACATTCCCAGTGAAGATGCTAACAGAAGCATTACTGCCACACTCTATGTGATGAAAATCCAGGCCTCAAACAATGATGAGAGCATTGAGTTTAGTGGTTCACTAGAAAATTGATGGAAACACTAAATGGTTTTCAACTATCTAATTTAGGTAGATTAAGATTTATTAGAAGTTACTGAGAGATGTGTAGATTTTGTTTTAAGTGCCAAGCCTAACTTCTAAGATTGAGGCCCTTAATTTATTTTCTCCTTGAATTTCTATAGCTTCTTTTTCTTCGAGAATCTTATTATAGTAACACAATGCATATCATATACATTCAGAACACTCTTTACATATACTAAAATATATCAGAGTATGGCAACAATAAGAATGAAAACACTGTATACAAGCCAGGTCCAAAAAGTGAAATCCATATGCAAGCAATGGTTTTACATTTCATTGCATATTTATACGATAATATTCACCCATGCCATAAAAATTGATTGGCTGCAACTTTGGATGCAGATAGGCATCCATTGAAAGAATAAATTGCTGCCTTCCTAAACATAGCCAGATTTGAATTGAGATTTGTATATTACAGTTCCCAGTGCTTGTTCCCAGCATGCTTAGTGATCATGTTAACAAGAGGTTACCTCAACAAGGCCACCATAAAATACTTAATCAGGTCTGAAAATCAGGCAGTTTGTTACAAGTTAGAAGAACACCAATTTTATGCCCTTGCCTGTTTTTTCCAGCTCTCGCTGAGTTTTGATTTATAGTTGAGCACTTTGTGTTATAACATAAATAAGCCAATCACAGACACGTTCAGGCATCATGATGAATACACAGCATTTAAATGTATTGTAGGAACTTAAGATCATTATTTTCACTCTGAAAGAAAAAGGTAGTTTTCTTTGCCTCCAAATGAATAATTAATAGGATAAATTATTATTTATTTGAATGATTTATGAAAGCTATTAACCTCCTGAGCTGGAAGAACCCTTAAAATCACCAATATAATCAAACAATAGATGAACAAGAAGCCTGAATACAACAGTTAAAATCAAATAGCCTTGTTATTTAGCTATCAAATTCACTAGATGACCTTGGGCTAGTCACTATATATTTCAAGACTGTGGACGGATAAAATGATTGAGGTTTTTCGGAATCACATATTTTGCCTTGAGATCCTTGAAGGAAAATCAGGGCATAAATTTAAATAAACCATAAACAATGTGTCTATAGAACCATGTTCAGCTATTATTATCCCTTTGAGAAGCAATCTAGTAAGTTTTACAGCCAAGTGAAGCTTTCAGCTGGAGTGATCCCAGGTCCAATATTATAAATACTAAGCCACTTTTCCTCTATATCTCCACCATGAGCTTTTCCAGGTCCATTTTAATGCAGACATTTGTGGTGAGGAAGAGAGTAAGGCCTTCCCATGTCCAATTGCCCATGTCCTCATTCATTAATTCTAAATTAATTCTGTCATTACCAAGCACTTGATCTTTTTTAATTTTTCTGTATATTTTCTCAATCCTTCAATTTGATAAAAATAAACCTTCCTCCCTTTTCCCCATAAAAAAGAAAACAATCCAAATGATTAGGATGCGATATTCTGACAATAACCTAAATAATGAGGCATGTATGAAAATCCAATATTTTCTTCCACATACATTTTTCTAGTATTTTGAGTTCTCATGGTTTCATGAAATCCCAAGGGAAGATGTCATGAGACATCTTGAGCCAGTTTGGTTTAGTGGTTAAGGCACCAGGCTAGAAAGCCAAAGACTGTGAGTTCAAATCCCACTTTAGCAATGAAAGCTGGCTGGGTAATCTTGGGCCAGTTATTCTCTCTCAGCCCAATTCATTTCACAGGATTATTATTGTGGTGAAAATAGAAGGAGGATGCTAATCACCCAGAGTTATTTGTAAAAATAATAAAGGTAGGACATAAATTAAATATATAAATTCTTCTCTTGGGCCTGTTTTCACAAGAAGAAGCATGGGCATCCAAAACCTATAAAATGATGGACAGAAATGTAACACATAACAGCCTTACTACTATAATATAGATTCACAATTGCAACTAAAATAAATTTGAAGGTAATTCTAAAATACTCTAGGAATGAATGGAATGTGAAAACAGAAACTTCTTTAGTGAGCAAAGGGAAACTGGACAACTTTTGGGCGAGTGGATTACTACTCATTTCTAACTGCATGGCCAAAACACCAATCAATATCTGTCATGATTCTAAGTGACCAATGGGAAAAAAAGACTCATTTGACTTTACCTATGCTAGCATCTTGTCAAACAAACAAACTGAGATTTGTTTCTTAAGGTTTCTGAATGATGGAAAAGGTTTCTTTTCCACATGACAAGATGCTCTAAATAACCATTTTACTGTGTCACAGTTACTATCTGTTTTCATCCCATACTCCATTTCATCTACTGGTTAAAGAAAAGACGAGTGTTTGCAAAAATAGGGTATATCAGAAGAGTGCGTGGGTTTCTCAAGCTACTTTCTTTTTGCATAGCAATTC